ACTCAGTCTGCGGCAGTTAGGCAGCGGTAGTAGATGTGGGTGGTGTGGGGATAAATCCACAAAAAATTAACAAGTACAGGGAAACACATGCAAAGCAGAATGGAGAAGCCTGGCAAAGGTCACTTTATTAAATAAAAATGGTACACATTCAACATTTTTGCATGACATACAAATGGTGCATTCATCTGTTTTCTGTATAGGAAGATAAGCGTCTGTTGTACACATAATTATACATTAACGCATTGGAATTAGCTTATTTGCCTGTTTATCTATTTTCCTATCAACACCTATGTGGGTTAGACCTTAGGTTTTTCTTTAAGAATATGAAGTATCAAGAGAGGTAAAATTCATATGCTAGAATGGGGAATATGATTATTCCCACAACAAGATGTGTCACTGCTTCTTACACTGGTCTGCAATGACCCATTTAAGCACCATGGACAGCTCAGACATGCTTGCATTTAAAAAGGACATTTGAAGCATTTGCCAGTAAGAATATAAAGAAATACTAATGTGTAATCAGAATATTTGTGATTACATACCTCCTACTAAAAAAATAACAAAACAATACCAAAATAAGGCTTAAAAACATGAATTTGGCTGACAAAGCAAAGCTTAAAAGGAGAACTATGAGGTGAGTGCCTTTCACTCACCTCATAGTTCTAGCCGACCTGTGACAATGAGACTGTCACAGGTCGGCTCAGTAGATCGGGAGTTGAGCGAACATATACCGGCATTCGCTCACCTCTCGATCCTGTCACGGCTCTCTGCCGTGACAGGGGAGGGGCTGGATTCCCCCCTCCCCAAAAAAAACCCCGCTCCGATCCGCCAGCGCTGACTGGCGGATCGGACGGGGGAGGTGGCGGGTACAGCTGGCTCTGCCTCTAGATAGGCAGAGCCAGCTGTCACTCACGCAGCTGGGCCGATCTCGATATCGATGTCGGGATCAGCTCTGGCGTCTCAGTATAACGCGAGCTGTAGCTCGTGGTATACTGAGCTTAGGGTAACAGGAGGACGCTAATTTGTGTCCTCCCGTTACCCTAAGGAGAACTATGGGGAAAAACCCTGACCCCATAGTTTTCCTTTAAGCTAAAACCCCAGATCAAACTTGAAATGTTTTGTGAGTAATTACCCAATCCTGAATTTTTTTTCAAGTGCATCAAGTATGAACAGCAATATTCACTCAATGCTAACTGACAGATTAATCTGCAATTATCTGCACAACTATATCTTGTGGGTTTTGTTGTCACATAGATAAATTTGCTAACCTTACGGGGCACAAACAGTGGGAAAACTCTGACACAGTATTAGCTGTCTAAGACTGCTTTACTAATCTTTATTGTGTTTCACTGCTGGCATTCTAATTATTTGGCTTTCTTTCTAGATTAATTATACAGTTCAGCCAGTTCTTGGGGATACAGCTGCATATGCATTTGCTATGTCAGATGCAACTGGAGATCACAAATATTTGTTAGGCCGACCCCTATCTGCTGCATGTACAATCCGTTTTAGTAGCAAAGTGTCTACCCAAACAATTAATTCAATTTATATGCAATCAACTCTGTCATTTAATTATCCCTATATATTTTCATGAAATAACAACTCTAGACAGAAATGAAAATCACAAATAATGCAGCTCTGTATTCATTAATACATATTCAAATGAATTGTTAAAATGCAAGTCGTGCAAATACCTGGCATCAACCTTTTGCAGTCCCTGTACAGCAAAGCTCAGACTGGTGAGGGAGAAGCATCGCAAGGGGCCAATGAGCTGAGCTGAAGTGCAAATACAGTGGTGAGGGCAGATTTAGAGAGATATGAGCTCATCAATCTACTGCTTCTCCTTTCACTCTCTAGTCAAATGGTGGGGGTGGCAAAGAGTAATAGGTAAAAAGCTGAAACTCGCAAGGGGATCCGTCCATCCAGTACTTTATTTGTAAAAAGGAATAACAGCAGCAAACAAACAAATGTGCACATGTTTCAGCCCCCAAGCTGGGCCTTAGTCATATCTAAGAGACCAGTAAGTGTTACTGAACTGCATCAGAGACAAATCAGTTTCCCTGCCCTGCAAGATAGGACTATGCTGGGTGGCAGATGTGCAAATTGAAGGACTGCAGAGACAATACAGCTCTCACTAAAGTATTTTATCTGCATATTTAGCTATTTGCCTGGAGTGTAGCTTTAACTATTAATATTAATGAATATATTACATAGTTACATAATATTTGAGGTTGAATAAAGACATTAGTCCATCAAGTCCAACCTATTATTATATTGTTAGTTATATGCTTAGTATAATATCATTTATGTATATCCTCAATTACTATTCTCAATTATTTTGGTCATTCAATTTATATCCAGTCAGATAGGCACCTAAATTGCTGAGCTGTTAGTCCAGCTAAGCGAGTCATCCATGATTAACTTATCACCAACATGAATCATGTCAAATAATTTAAATGAATGGAATGCAGCATCCACAATAAATATATCAGGTACTGGTATATGTCTCAATTTTTCCTCTATAAGTTGCATGGATGGGAAAGAATAAGCCCATGAGCATGCAGCAGCTAACAGAGCAAGCTTTTACCAAGTATATAAGCATAATGAACCTGCACCTTAATGAATATTGTCCTTTTGTGCCCCTCTGCAGTACCATATGCAATCATGAAGAGTTGGTCTGGGGTTTCCAGCAGTCACCAAAATATCAATCAGTATTTATGCCAGCAATCCCTATAAAAAGCAAACCTCTCTGTTGCGAACAGTGGCGCTAATAAACTTAGATAAACTCAGATGCAGTCAGGCATATAATAATGCTAATGAGTACAACCCTTAACTACAATAAGTATGTATCCCTTTGTGGCAGAGTTTACTAAATGTTATTTTTCATGCACACAGGAACTAAGCCCAAATAAATAGCATATCAAAAGCCAAATGGATATTAAGTTGTCATTTATGTGATTTAAGATTATTTATGAAGTAGACACTGCCGTTCATTTGTCATGTATCCTATATTTTGAAATGCATTATAAGCAACCAAACCATATCCTGCTTCCTGCCCTTCATAATAACTAAAATGCAGCCAAGCTCCTCAGTGATGGTGTGATTCTTGCTATATAGCACTACAGCACCGCATTGGTAATACATATTTTCACACCTACCTTGTCGACGCTCGGAGGGGGGTTAAACTTCTTTGCACATACAAGAAAAATATCAGGCTGAGGTTTGCCACTTTTCACGTCTGGGTCATCTCCTAGCACAATGTGATGGAATAAATTGAAGAATTCTTTGTGTCTACTTGTTTTCATTTCAAATGTCACTCTGGCTGAGCTGGTGGCAACAGCCATTGGGATGTTGTGCTTATTCAGATGGTAGATTAACTTTTCAACCCCTGTGACAGAGAATGGGAGAGGAAAGAAATGAGAAATGCAAAGATTACATGATAAAGCTTGTCCATAAAATAATTGATGACAGATAATAACAATACGTGACAGTCTTATGTAAAAAAAAAAAAAGGCACTAGAGTAAGCTTTGGTTATCTAAAATGTATGTGAGACAAAGTAATTGCATCACGTCGCCCAGTTTGTCTGTTCCTCTTGGAACAATGTTACACATTTCCATGCAGTTAAAGTTAACCTGTCAGGTCCTAAGCAGTTTTACTAACACCATGGAAGTCACTTTGTGATGCTTGTGTAATCCTTCATATTAGATTGTGGATACCTCTGGATCCACTTGGGTTCCATACAAAGTATTGACTTTTGCCCAAGATGAAACTAAGCCCCACTCCTCTCAGTATTATGCCATGCACCCCACTATTAAGTATTATTAGCCTAAACAATGTTCAAGATCAGAGAGGTTCACTTTATAGCAAACCAGTCACAACTGAGTTTATGAAACAATGTTTAGACTTGCATTATTTAAAAGATTTATATATGTCCCCTTATTTAACATTACTTACTTTTCTAGTGCCAGAGGTTATTTGAAGTTTGGCAGTTGATGTCTATTAATTGCCTGTCCTCAATGATTCAGAACTTGGCACTTTGCTGCCTAGCTCCAGCCCTGACCCAGTGTGTGTGTGTGTGTGTGTGTGTGTGTGTGTGTGTGTGTGTAGGGCTTTTTACCCTGCAATGTAATTTTAAGTAAGGTACAGCTGGGCTTTATATTCCCGGTTCTATAAAATTATTGGTACACTTTGTGTCTTTTTCCAGGCACAGTGAATTTACAAAAGGCAATGACTATACAGTGAACTTCAATTCCCCCAAGCTGATATTTCAGAGATTCCCTCTGCCTAATGGACATCCAACTGAAAATATACTACAACAAATGTAAAGATTAGAGGCAACATTTGTAGGTAAAATAATCAGGCAAATAAGTTGACTAAGATTTTATTAGTTTTAAACATTTTTGGCAACACACATACATCAAGAAATGCACAACCCTAATTAAAGTATCTTCACTCATATTGGGTAGAGACAATTTTTTGTAAGATTATACAATCTCTATATAACAAAAACTACCCCTAATCTCATAAGTCACGTACTTTTATTCTCACACTGATCAGTGTCCTTTTTAATATCCAACCAAAACAGAGGGTCCTGAAAATGAGTGTCATGCTCATATATATTGTGAGATATAGCTTTCAAATGGTAGTGCATTAGTGACGGAGTCCACTCGCTTACCACGTCTTTTAAAGGGCCTCTTTGCCCACTTTTATTAGAACCAACATAAAAGTCCACACCGGTGTTTCCCTCGCAGGGGTCTTCAAACACAATGTTTGTCCAAGTCTCACTGACTCCAGGTTGTCACACATACTCCACTTGTACACGGCTCTCTCAGCCTCCTCGGCTGTCTTCCCGTGCCTCTAGCACACACAGCCACCTGGCTCCCCTCTGCTTCAGGGTGGAGTCCTCCTGACTCTCGAACATCCCTGTTCCTCTTCCCAGCTGGAGCCCAGAACACTAGCCCGCACACTTCCCATAAGTGCAGTGCACAGTTGTGCAATCAGGTGCTGGCCACTACTAAACAATGGACCCAGGAATGGAGATTTCATCCTTCCCAATTCTCTTAGAAATCTCCCAGTTCCAGGATCCCATGCCAAATCCAGAAATCCTGGGAAGAGCCACAAAGTCAGCTCTTTCCCAGTACAAAACTTGCCTCCTGGAACCGCTCAGCCCCTCTGGCTGAGAGTCCTGGGTGACTACAACCCCCGGTTCTACCGTGGGATTGCCACACAATACCACAATATATATAAAGCTTTACCACCACATCCTCAAAAAACCCCATCCCCATCTCTCCCATGCCCGGTCCCAGTGGTGCAAATATTAAATTATAAACCTATATTCCTTATATTTATCATATATTCAAGATGACACCTTATTATTAACCCTTCAAGGAATACCAACCCCAATATTTCATAAAGCTTTTTATGTATCTGTATCCATATACCTAATCCAAGGCATCTTCATATCTTCCCATTGAGAATATAGGTCATTAATATCGCATGATCTCACATAAATCCATTATACATTCCTGTATAGTAGGGACCACCTGTGTATTCCAATGTACAATTGTCTAATTAATTGTCCCAGTAGAAATAATGGATTACCCCAGTGGAAGTATATCCATTTTATAGAGTGCTATCCTACTTACCCAGGAATGATGGAAAAAAAAGCCCAACTCTTCATGTGCAATAGAAGATTGTAAAAGGGGCAAAAACTGCACAAATCAGTCAAATATTTAGGTAGAAATACCCCTAAATATTAGCAGAAGATTGTAATTTCAATGGAAAATGGGCACTCAGATGGGAGTTGACTTTTTATTTTTTACTTTGACTTGAGTGCAATGTTTTTTGAACTGATTGCACCACACATATTAGAGCTCTGACAACTCTATATAAAGTAAAATGAAACTAGGGAACATGGATTTGATACAGATTTAAAGTGGCCTGGTGATGGGGTGCTCATACAGATAAATTTGAGCCTGGTAGATGGAGTCTTGTAAAGATTAAGACGATCCTTGTGAGTGGGAGCTTTGTACAGTGAGAGTGGCAAATTGTGGTCTGTACAGGGTAAAATGTGATTGCGGAAAAACAATGCTGTGCAAAGTTATAGGAGAGTGGCATATAAGGGGTCTGCATAGGGCAAAAAGAAAGGGGGCTCTGTACAATGTAGCATGATACTGAGGGTTGTTCTGCACAGGGTAATGTGAGAGTGTTGATCAGGGCCCTATAAAAGGGGACATTATACTGAGAAATGGGGGCAGTGTACAAATATAGATTAGAATGATGTGCTCTGCAGCAATAAACATTTAATTGAAGGGTGGGGACCTATACAGAGTAATAAGAAAGTGGTAAATGAGGCTTTATTACACAGAAGTACACTTATTGAGGAGGGGGTTATGCATGGGTTAAGTTAAAATGAGGAATAGGAGCTCTCTACAGATTAGGATTAGATTGATGGATGGGCTATTAAGATAAATAAAAGATTGGCAGATGGGAATCCTTAACTTTTTTTTGTAACAAGAAGTGTTATTAGGTTTTTATATATAGAACATATACAATACACAATAAGGGGGGAAAAAACAGCATTCATGTGGCGTAAGTTGTAGTATGAAGGTTACAAAAAAAAGCAACACATACATCACCTGTTCCAATACTTACAGAAATACATAAGTGTATGATACCAATAAGTGGAGTAACAAAGTAAGGTAAGTAAGGTAACTGTGGCTACATATATTCAATTAATCCTATAGAAATGTGACCACTAAGAGAATGTATGGAGTAATGTGGAGAAATAAGGCCAACCAGTAATATTAATATTTGGCCTAATCCGAGGAAGGATGTCCAATGGAGGAGACTAAACATCAAACACGTGTACACAAGAATGTATGAAATACATACAAGTTATAATAAAGGAAACTACCATACCTCAATCATGTAGTGCTAATCAAACATCTGGTGGTTGATTTACTAACCTTATAAAACACACCACGAACATGTATACACCTCTGTAGTGTGTTCCCTCCCAGCATGATCTATGGGTGGAATCTAAACACCTTTGTAGTGTGTACACACCCAGCAGGTGTGTTGTGCAAAGCCTTGCATGAATTGCAAGGTGATGTTGTGTAAATTAGCAAGGTGATGTTGTGTTGCTTGCGTTGATGAATGCAGGAATGTAAATGCATGAGCTAACCATTTTTGTCTAAACTGTGAAGCAGCATTATATATGCATCATGTGCATGATTTTTCCATATATGGCATTAGTGGAAATAACCTTTTAGAGACTTTTTGGTTGATAAATACGTTTTGCTGTGTGAAAATCACACGCACCTGGTGCGTGCGTGTGTTTAGGTTAGTAAATCACCCCCCTGGAGTCTGACAACCAGCAAGCCCATTGGGAGGTAAAGATTTGAGTTTTAAGGTTGGCTGTTGCAAAGAGAAATTCGAAGTGGGTGTGTGTATTTAAGATTTGTATGACATTTCGCATATATGGGGGTTCCGACTGTTTCCATGCTCTTGCTATGACAAGTCTGGCAGCTATGAGGATGTGGGATACCACCGTACGAGATGTTTTGGGCCATTCGTCCAAGCCAATCCCCAATAAAGCTAGTTGTGGTGACAGAAAACATGGGACCTGGGTCAGTACAGATATGAGGGTGGAGATATCCCAAAAAGACTTGAGCAAGGTACATGACCACCAGATGTGAGATAGTGAGATAGTGAGATAGTGATCCCACCGAGCTGCAACCCCTCCAACAGAGCGGAGAAGAAGACGGGAAAGCTCTCGCTAACCTCTGGGGTGTAAAGCTTGCAGTAATCAACAAGCTTAACTCTATGTGCAAGGGCCATCTTATTATTTGTGGAGATTTTAACGAAATAGTTGATCCAAACCTTGACCCCGCCAACAAAAACAGAAACGGCAATAGCACCCTCCTTTCTCTCCTACATACTAACGACTTGTATGATGCCTGGAGATGCTTGCATGGTAATGAAAGGGATTATACCTACTTTTCGCATACCCAAAATTCCTACTCCAGACTGGACATGTTCCTAGTGGACAAATTTACTCTGCAGCACGTTTCTAAGGCAGATATTGGTTTGATTACCTGGTCGGATCATGCCCCTACCTCACTCTCTCTATTTCCAGACACCTCCCCTTGTATCCCTCCCACATGGAGATTCAACCCCAGTTTACTCTCCAATCCTGAACATAGGGAATATATCCAATCTGAAATAAATGCCTTCTTTGAAATCAATACCTCTACCGCTAGCAACCACAACATAGTATGGAACACATATAAAGCCTTTCTTAGAGGCCTACTTATTAAATTAGGGGCGAGTGAAAAAACGGCGACGTAATAGTGAATTAAAATCCCTGTTGGACCAAATTGGTA